TGCTAAATTCGTGCCTAACACTTATCATAATTTATTTGACGTTATCTACAAGTACCTAACCTACTCCTGACAAATCAATAATTAAAAAGTTGACATTTATACTTGTTTGGGTTGTTAATGTTGTCATGATAACTTCAAAACACGCGCGTTTTTGAATGTTTTAAACACGCTGAGGAGTACTTTAAATAAGTAAAATAGGTTATCAATAAAAAAATGATTTTAAACGGTTTCTCTTTGGTATTCCTTCAAGCACTAAAACCTACCTTCATAGTTAGTACCTACCGATCGCAAAAAACAGCAATAAACCAAAACCTGCGCCAAAAAATATTTGATTGTTATGGAATGCACTCTAACCAGACGGGAACTTTTTTGAGATCCCCAAAAATTCCAATATGCAAAATGTTTAAAGTTACAATTTTAGATTAATTAGCTATTATTAATTAATTAGTTACTAAATCTCACTCAGATTTTCAGTGTCAGATCTTTTATTAATCGCCGTTCTATGCAACTGAATACAAACCATTTCGCTGAATAATTGTTTGTTATAGTGAACCACTCTGTCCACTGTCCAGAATTTCGACATTATCAAAATCAAACCCATAGTCGTTCTCGAAATGGTAATTTGCCAACGCAGTTTGCTCCTACTTTGCCCTTTGCCTTTCTGCACATGAATTCCTGTGTTCGTAAATTCTATTTTTCAATCTTTGTTTGGTTTGTCCTATATACACTCCATCGCATTCCAAACAGTTAATTTTATACAGCGTGGAAAAAAATAATGGAACACCTACAAGGGTTTGAAAACTCTACAAGGTGTTAATGAATAGTGGGATCAAACTTCTAGGATAGATAGTACTCATTAAAATAATAAAAAAGTTAATAGAAACATAGGTCCGCAAATGCTTAGTTTTGGAGATACAACGGTGTCAAAGCTTGAAAAAATCGGTTTTTTAAAATCCGTTTCCCGAATTTCTTTAAACTTGGCTGATTTGTTTGTAATAACAAAAGGTATCTTTTGAATCAATTTGATTTCTTGTAATTATTTCAGTGGTGCCTCGGAGGGCGCCCCAGGAGGCAACTACCTACGTTGGTAAAAGTGGAAAAAAAATGACACGACTTTTTTTCCATAACTTTGATAGTTTTTCAATCATCATATTACAGTCAAAAGATACCTTTTGTTATCACAAACAAACCTGCCAAAAAAAGAGGCACAATTAGCATTGAAAATAGGCCCCCGTAAATTTCAACCAACAAATCAATATTTTAGAGGTATCATCATTGCAAAAAAAAATTGAAATGTAAAGAGGATCGTATGTCTGTGATAGCAGATATAGCTTGTCCAAGTACGTATTAGGTCCTGCTATGATATGCATAGGAAATATCCAAGGAAATATCCCTACGTAGATTTTCTTGAATATCTCGAAAAATATCAATCCGATTTTGACCTTTTTGGAGATTGATACCTACAAAAAGACCTACAAAAGTACCCAAGTTGAAAACCACTTGGGTACATGGGATGGTAAATGTATTGTAAATCTAGATAATAGGTCCTATCATGCTGCTTTAATCCACACAGAGCCTCGTGGAACCAACCTTTTCGATTAATAGTATGGCCGAAATAGGGCTTTGTACTATTAGACTATCCTATGTTGTCATTCTTCAGCATTTCTTGATGCATGATTTCAACTGTGATGGTTTGCGAAAGAAAGTTTACATGATGATACTGAATATTTATTTTGCCTTTGATTTTTGTTGAATGTTTTGGAACAATTTGGCGATTCCTTTGTCCCCGTCCTTGTTATATATTTTTTTAGTCGTCTGTTTTATTCTTGTTCTTCGAAATTTATTGAATCCGGTTCTGTACTTGCTGTCTCCTGGGCTTCTTGATGCTGCAAAATGTTTTGGAGCCGGTCCTACTCTCCTTGCTTTTCTTCGAGTCTATTCTCGTCCGCAAGTTTTAATAAATCGTGCACCTGGTTAATCTGATTCGTTTATTCCGGATTTGTTTCCTCTTTTCACCATAGGCAAAAATTTCATCATTCAATTATCCCGTTATTGACTCCACTTGTTACACATGTGGGATCGTTAATAACTGAGCCTCCTTTTCCCTCGACTTTTTTAAACTCAAATATATTTTTTCTACAACTGTCAAAAAATGATGATGTTCGCACACTCATGACAGTTTGCGAAGTGACACTTTTTTTCCCAGGTATAGGTATTAATTTTTTAACGTTCCCATGACGCCGTGCGCGAACTAGCTATTTCGCGCACACGTGCTGGGTGTCATGGTGACACATACCTGTCAGGAAATCAAAAATAATTAAAATTCACCTACCTTTGATTGAAAATGCAATTTTGGCTTCGAATGATTGATATTTAAATGGAGTTATAGAAAAAATATTGTTTGCAACTCGGGCGCGAAATACTTTGGTGATCTCGACTATTTTTTTAACTCGGCTGCGCCTCGTTAAAAAAATCAGATCTCGGTCACCAAAGTAGCATTTCGCGCCCTTGATACAAAAATAACTATTTTCTGCAATAGACAAGAAATGTCCGCATTTTTGACCGGTTGACAGATCGCAAAACTCAATATTCTGGTATTTTAATTAAAGTCTGTTTTTTTTTAAAGATAAAAGTCAAAATAACATTATGTTGGCAATACGATATAAAATTGTCAATGTTTTCAAATTTTTTATGTATAGAAAAGGCTTGTGTTGCCAACATAGTTACTAAATTTTTGACTTGGGGAATTATCTTTAAAAAAAAACAGACTCTATGTTCCAATAGTTGCTAAGGAATCGATGAATAACAATAAGGGAATCACTTTTCCGGCCTAGGCCGGGAAAGTGATTCTCGTATTGCTGAATAATTGGAACAAAAAGACAAAATTTTTTAATAGATATTTAACTGATCGTAGAAAAAATAGTATGTGTATTTCGGTGGAAAGCACATTCTCGACCTTCGGTGTTTGCCGGCCTCGGCTACGCCTCGCCCGTCAACTTACACCGTCGGCCGAGAATGTATCACTTTTCCACCTAATACACAATATACTATTATTTAAATCAATAACACAAAAATCACGACAAAATCAAGCACTACTACAGTACTTTAATTTGTAGTTCCTGCAGTAATTCCTGTGTTCTCTTTTTTAAAAGGTGTTCCCAACAGTATTTTCCTTCTTATTTTTTGAGTTCTACCTCCCAATATCCTCTTTTTGAGTATCAAGTTGGAAACCACTTGGATACATGGGATGGTAAATGTATTGTAAATCTAGATAATGGGTCGCTATCATGGTTCTTTAATCCACACAGAGCCTCGTGGAACCAACCTTTTCGATAACTAGTACTTTCTGTGCTAGTACATACAATGCTAGTACGGACGAGATGGGGCTTTGTACTATTAGACTATCCTATGTTGTCATCCTTTAGCATTTCTTGATGCATGATTTCAACTCAGTGTCGGTTTGCGAAAGAAAATTTACATGATGATACTGAATATTTATTTTGCCTTTGATTTCTTGTTGAATGTTTTGGAACAATTTGGCGATTCTGCCTTTGCCCCCATCCTTCTTATCGACTTCTTGATGCTGCAAAATGTTTTGGAGCCGGTCCTACTCTCCCTGCTTTTCTTCGAGTCTATTCTCGTCCGCACGTTTTAATAAATCGTGTACCTGGTTCATCTGATACGTTATTTCGGGATTTGTTTCCTCTTTTCACCATAGGCGAAAAATTCTTCACTTAATTATCTCGTTTCTGACACGACTTGTTACATATACCGGATCGTAAATAACCGAGACTAGTTTTTTCTTGACTGTTCCAAACTCAAGTATATTTTATTTAAATTAATAACACAAAAATCACGAAAAAATCAAGCACTACTACAGTACTTCAAATTAGTTAAACTAAACTGACCTAACTATTCGCATAACTATATCACTATTATTGATTGCTGTACAATCCAAAACTCTTTCTCATCGTCGTGGGCCGCTCACATATAGCGTTTCAAGCCATCTCTATTTTCCTACAGAATTTCCTACTAGAAATATCCGGTAACGCCAATCGATAAATTGTTGGCTAAAATATTCGTTCAAGACCAAACTCATCGAATATTCCAGTTACCGGGCAAACCAAGGGTCGATCAATATGAGCGACGTAAGGGTTCAAATATGCTATCATGATGCTATCTCTGTTATTTTCTATCAATATGAATATACTTCTTCGAAAGGCTACTTTCACATGCCAGGAATATGGGCAAATTATGATATTTTTTGACGCAGATACGTGGATGCAACCGAAAATGAACAATATTTTGCAAGATTTCAGTCAGATTATTGAATAAATTAATAAACAAAAATAGCAAATTTTAATAAAAAACCACGTGACTGAAAACGCCGCCTCACCGGCTAAAGCCGTTATTCATGATTTTGTTGTACACATTTAAAAATACGAAATTCAAAGGAGTTAAACGATTTTACCTATCCTTTATATTTTATAACGTAGTAAAGGACGGAAATAGCTTCTAGCTGTTTAATGATTTTCTAATCGGAAATGCGTTTTCCGGAAAGTGACGCCGCTTTCCGTGTCCGCGTTTTCGCAGCAGTTTAAAAATTCAATTTTCAAATCGTTTCATTTCCAAAAATAGATGTTAGAATGACTAACACAATAATTTAAAAATGTTTTTTGAAAAATGTGAAAGTGGCCTATTGTAGTCAATTGCATTCCTATACTCATGTTTTTTTCTGTTTTGATTCCCAACTCAACTTTTGATTTACTAGGCCCGGTTCATTCATCTTCAGATAAACATGCTGGTAAGTATCTTCAAGATAAATGTACCGTTCTATAATTCTATCGGTCGGCGGATAACTGGCTGACCAATGGGATTACAGATTGCGTTTTTCTTCGTCAGATTGCATTACCTGACAGTTTATCAGAAGGTGAATAAACCGGCCCTTAGTTAATTATTATAAGTTAGTATTCTAATACTTTTTTTTTGTTCAATTCCAGATCTCAAGAACTGGAAACATGGCTCACCACACATTCTACAGACTTATGTTAGCTGTCATTATGGTCACAGGAGCCTACAGCCACCCAAAATGTAACGAAATAGACCGGAAAAAATGCTGGTGCTTTAATGCAGAAAGCATAGACATTCAGTGTCCAATAATGGAACCGCAAATCAGCCTTACAGTAACAAAAATAAATCACAAAATATCTTTGCAATGTTTAGGGAATTCGAGCCCCTACATCGATTTGGAAATAATTCCTGAAATGGATGTGTCCGAGTCAAAGATATTCCAAATGTCATATTGCTATTTCAATAACAGTTTCATGGATGTTTTGGATAAATTTAATATCAAAGAATTGAAGACGTTGGCCTTTGAAAGCATGGCTTTAAAAGACAATGACAGCAATATATCAGTATCTAAGGAATCTTTCGAAAGGCTTGGCAGCTTAGAAAGCCTTACAATGACCTACAGCACATTGAGTTTTGCTGAAGACTTTTTAGCAAATACTCCCAACTTACTATCTCTTACCTTAAGCCGAAATCACATACTTGAACTTGATTTCTCCCTCAAAAATTTATCAAAATTAAAACTTCTGGATTTATCAGGAAATCAAATCAATAATTTGCCAGATGGAATTTTTGATGATCTCTCAAACCTTACAGTTTTGTATTTTTATAACAATAATTTAACGGAACTGTCTAGAAACTCATTAAGTGGTCTAAATAATCTGAGGCTATTAGAAGTGAGCCAGAATAAATTGAAAGATATTGCTGAAGATACTTTTGCAGACCTTCATAACCTGGTAAACATAAGTCTTCGCGACAATAATATAAGAGGGGTGCCTGGTAGCTTATTTGTCCAAAATCCTTTATTGGAGAACATAAGGATGGATTACAATAAAGACATGATTTTGTCAGATTATATTTTTTCAAATTTGACAATGCTTCGTAGTGTGGCACTCAATGTTAATAAGTTGAAAGAAGTGCCTGAAAATGCTTTTAAAAGTTGCGTAAGGCTGCAACAAATAAATTTGAAAAATAACGAGTTGGCTACATTACCAGAATATGTATTTAAAGACCTTAAAAGCCTAAAGAATCTCGATTTGTCTTACAATAAATTAAATTCTCTTCCAAATGGAATATTTTCGACGTTACATAATTTGGAGGAAATAAATCTGGGCAAAAATCTTTTGAAAGCTGTCAATGAAAACCTTTTCAAATACATGAATAATCTAAAAAAGCTTGATTTAAGCAAAAACAGAATATCATTAATCGATCTTAAAGCATTCTCAAGCCTCCAAAACTCCCTGACTTCTATAGATCTCTCTTTCAATGTGTGGAATAATAACTACTCTGTTCCACCAGAATATGGTTCACTTTCGGGTACCTTATCTCCATTGAACGATCTTATTACGCTAAAAGAACTGAATCTTGGTCACAATAATTTAACTGACATTCCAGAACTTTATGCCTTGACAAATTTGAGGAAAATGGATCTTAGCTACAATGAAATTACAAATTTGGAAGTAAGTATTTTTTATTAAATACTCTTTATTTAACACCTGACATCAATTACTGAAGATTAAACAAACAAACCACAAATTAAGTGTTGACATGTTAGTATATAGATAATTTCTTTGGAATTTCAAACTAAAGCGTGGTTATTGGTTTTTAATTATAGATTGATGTTTTATTAATATGGATAATAAAAAAAAGCATAAAAATATAGTATTGGTAGAATTGTTACAACCAATAATTATAGAAATTTAGGTAGTGGGTCTTCGGAAAAAACGTCAATCAAAGATGGCTATGATTTTTTAAACACGTATGTTCTTGACGTAGGTATGTTAGCTATTTTTCTAGAATTTCGTAATGTCATGGTCGATTTGTCGTTTGATGTCAAACAACAAATGACGCTCTTATAACAAATTCCATTGGCAATAATAGTGCCGCACTGGGGCGGCTCCATCACTAATTCAGAGCAATTTGGAATATACACTGGTGCAGTGTTGCGAACCAAATGGGAGTCTTCGACAAAGCCCGACAATCTCTGAAAAATTTGAAACTTAGTCAACGTTATGGATGTTATGTTTTTATTATGAGTTTCTGTTGGCTTTTCATTTTTTCTTTGGTGTTTGTTTTTTCCATTCCAATTCAGTTTTCCTATTTCTTTTGCTGTTTGGATTTCCAAACTAAAAGTCGAATATTGGATAATTTTTAAATGTATTTATTTATAATTATTTTTTGTTTCCAAAATAGGTGAGTCGACCGAATATAATGAACTCTTATGAAAACTGGGAAAATGATGAAAAGATACGGCACAGTAGGTATACGGCATAGGTAACGGTTTCAAAAATGGCCACAAATGTCAGAACATCAATTTACAAGTTACAACGGAATGTCATATTGCATTAGTGCCGCACGACCTCCAAGAGCTCGTGCGGAACTGATTGCACTCAGAGCAAAAAGTGTCGCAAGAGTTTCCCAATGGGATTCAAAAACTAAAATGGCCAATGGTTCACAAATATAAATATCTATATGTATATAGCACTCGTATCGCACCAATTCGGCAAATGGAATTCAGTTTTACAAGAGCCTATACAGGGTGATTCAAAAGTAAGCGGCATCCTTTCGGGGGCGTATTCCTTGCTAAAAAATAAGACAAAAAATTCCTATTAACATGGGTTCGGAAATGCTACCTAAGGGAGCTACGCCCCTTCGAATAGGACATCTGAAACACGTATTTTTCTCTATAACTTTAAAACCCTTTACAATTGGATTTTGAAAATTGGTGTATTTTATAAACATTCGATGGCAATTAAGATACTAAATTGAAAATTCAAAAATCTTAATCAGTGGCGTCACATACTGGGGAGGGTGAAGGTTAAAACATCCCTATTTTTTTTACTCGTCAGGTTTTTGCGATTCTGATTAAAAATTCAGAAAGTTTACAGCTTCTTACACAGAAAAGGTACTCTTGGTTCAATTTGATACAGCGTACCGTTTACGAGAAAATTGACTTTGAAAATTTTCTGATTTGCGTATGTTTCGCAAAAACCTGACGAGTAAAAAATAAATAAATAGGGATCTTTTCACCCTCTCCAGTATGTGACACTGATCAAGATTTTTCAATTTTCAATTTAGTATCTTAATTGCCATCAAATGTTTATAAAATACACCAATTTTCAAAATCCATTTGTGAAGGGTTTCAAAGTTATACAGAAAAACGCGTCTTTCAGGTGTTCTAATCGAAGGGGCGTAGCTCCCTTAGGAAGCATTTCTGGACCCATGTTAATAGGAACTTTTTGACTTATTTTTATGCAAGGAATACGCCCCCAAAAGGATTCCGCTTACTTTTGAATCACCCTGTACAGCAACAAACAAAGGTTTGGTGGGAGTTCTCTCATAATTACAATAACTGAATGCTGGAAATGCCTTCCACCAACGTCAATACAAAGCCCAGCCCTCTTCTTCGGATGCTTCTAAAAATAGTATGCCCTATCGGATCAGAGGTGTTTATTTCTAGGTATTTTGCAATAATTCTTCCTCGCATAGCCTCAATATTTGGGACAGGAGTCATCGTCATGTAAGTCATCTATCTATCTATCTATCTATTCAGCCTTCTTCATTCCATATTTGGACGTAGGCCTCCCCCAGTCTTCTCAATTCCTCTCTGTCTGTTGCCATGTTCATCCACCTGGTTCCAGCGTGCTTCTTCAGGTCATCAGCATACCTTATCTGGGGTCTTCCTCTACTTTTTTTATCCTCCCAAGGTCTCCAGCTTAAAATACATTTATTCCATCAGTCGTCTTTTTGTCTGATATTGTGACCTGCAAATTTCCATTTTAATTTTGCTACCTCCTTTCTAACTTTTGTCTTTCCATTGATCTTTGTGCTTTTGTTATTTTATCCATATTTGACTTTGTGAGTGTCCATGTTTGGGATCCATAGGTGAGGACAGGAAGTATGCATTGATTATACACTTCGTTTTTGAGGTATTGTGGATATTTTCTATTTTTCAAGATGTAGCCTAATTTGCCGAATGCTGCCCAAGCCAATCTAACTCGTCTCTGGTTTTCTGCTATTTTGTTTTTTTTTGTTGAGTTTAATAATCTGTCCTAGATATACAGTGTGATTTTTTAAGTGTGCAACATATGAGATTTTTTTTTAGTAATAGCACAATCCAAATACAAACAAGGCTAAAAGTTGGTGCATGTCTGATAATCATATTAGGTGCACTTAGAATGGTTGCAAGTCAAACAGCATACAGGGTAGCTCAAACAATATCAAAGCTGTACTGTAAAGTACCCTTATTTTAGAAAATTGAGCGACATGTTATAGAAAAAAGTTGTTTGGAATTAAAAGTTATGCCTAAGTACCAAAACATAGCCTCCTAATATATTTTTTATTTTTTTTTCGAAAAAAATCTATAATTCCTATATTTTTTTTATTTTTGAATTCCGCCCTTAATACTTTCAAAAATTAATTAAAATCAAATCAATTTTACATAACTTTGTTCAAATTCAAGCATATTTGTAAAATTAACTTAGATTTTTAATTTTTTATGGAATCACAAAATTCATGTTTGTTGCAATGATATTCAACACAACTTTAAAATGTCGCAATTTTTTTTTTTAACAAGTTAAAACATTACTTATGATAATAGCCATATTAAAAAAAAACTCTCCTTAAAGTGCAAAAGTTTTATTTTATTCAAGTAAATATTACTACAATTTTGATATTTTTTGAGCTACCCTGTATGCTGTTTGACTTGCAATCATTCTAAGTGCACCTAATATGATTATTAGACATGCACCAACTTTTGGCCTTGTTTTTATTTTGATTGTGCTATTACTAAAAAAAAAATCCCATATGTTGCACACTTAAGTAATGAGACTGTATATAATGTGGTGGTGAATCTGTTCAGGACTGTTACATCTTTAATAATATATTTTTCAGAGGTTAGTATGTAGTCATACATCATTTCATTTCTCGTTGTTCCATTAGGGCTGAGCCATGTCCACTTTCTTTGCGGTTTCTTCTTATAGAACGAGTTCATTGCACATAGATGTTTTTCTTCTAGATAGTTCATCAAGGTAGTGCCCCTATCGTTCCTCTCACTGTACCCAAAGTTCAACATTTTAGTCTCTACTTTATTCAGCTTCTTACCAAGCTTGGCATTGAAATCTCCAATTACTAGAGTAAGGCGAGTTTTATGTTCTTCCATAGCCTTTGATATATCTTCATAGAATATTGCGATGCTCTCGTCGTCGTATGTTGAACACTTGAATAATTTTAAGCGATGTTCTTTTCATTTCAAGTACGAGATAAGCAACCCGATCTGAGACTCCCTTGATAGTTTGGACGTGTTAACTTATCGCTTTATTTATAGTAAATCGTACTCCAAAGCTACTGTTGTCTTTGTTACCTTTGAAGTATAGCAGGTTACCGGAGTTCAATTTTATTAGGTTTTCTGTTTTTCTTCGGGTTTCTGACAAGCCTACTATATACCACTTTATTCTTGTCAGCTCTTCCTCCAGTTCATGTATCTTTTCGTCAGTGTTCATTGATCTGATATTGTATGTTCCTATTGTTTGGTTGATCAGTTTCTGTGATTTTTGTTGTGTTAGTCGTTTTCATGAGATTTTGATCTTTGTTGTTCGGAGCGAATTTTTGCCTCCCCCAGATTCCGTGAGGCAGACCATAGGGGTGTGGGAGTCGGGATATTTCCCACCCACCTGGGGACCAGTTCTATTTGTTTTGAAATTCGCCATGGTATGTACAGGGGGGTAATGACAAGTGAAACACCACGCTTGCCAGGCGGGTTGGTGAGTTTTGATTCAGCACGGGCAGTAAGTCATATTCATGGATAAAGGAGGTTAGAATTTTTTCTAGGTATCGCTCTGCAGTTAAAATTCCAATCCATACTCCATTATTTCCTGGATAAAGCTGTGCGTCTCTAAATTCATGAGGGTTTTCTTTTCTGCTGCCCTACTCCGCATATCTTGGTGGTTTACGTATCTTAGGAGATAGAACCATGCCTATCAGTAAAAAAACATTTATGTTCCTCTCGTGTTCAATGACTTCCGGGGTTCACTTTGATGGTCTTCCGCTTCGACAGCTTCCCCCCTTTCTTTTTACACTCCGGAACTTAACACTAGTTCCTCGTACTAAGTTGTTTTTTCCTGAGGCTTCTGGTAAGTCACTCGTCTTCTTAAATTGCCTTTTCTGAGACTTGCGATGCCTAATGTGTTAGAAATTAATTTTTTTCATTGATTCGAATCGGCTTTTTGCTTCTTTTTTTTTAAAGCTTCTAATAATGATTCCTGGTGAACCTTTTTTAAATTGCTTTTTCTAAGGCTTCCGGTAACGATTCTTGAAGCTGTTTTCCAATGTCAACGTCATCCAGGGTTGCGCTTTATCTTTAACTTCTGGTACCTATTTATTCTTGAGCCGCTTTTTCCCAAATCGATTCCTTTAAAGCCTTTGATGATCGTTTTCCTTGTTTTTTATCGATTCCGTAAGAAAAGCTAATTGCTAGTTTCTTCTTCAGAAGCCTCTGGGATTGATTCGTGCGGCCATTTTCAAATTGCTTCTTTGGCAGGTTCTGGTTAAAAAATTTTTTTTTTTATATATAACTTCAGTTAATAAATATTTGCATTTTTTGTAGCTTCTAGTAGGTATATTGACTCTTGAGGATCGTCTTCTGAAATTAACTCTGCTGAAGCCTCTGGTAATGTCTGGTAATTTTTTTTGAAACCGATCCAATATTTGAACTTCAAATTCTTAGCTACTTGGTGTTGTTGTTTCAAAATTTTACTTCAAAATATTTTTCTTGCATTAGGTGCTAGATGGAAAGGAAAACCCGATAAAAGCAACTAGACTTTCCATCCAAATCGCTCATAGAACGAATAGACTTTATTAAGTAACTAATTAAATGATATAATGTCCGTCTGGTATATTATTTGAGAAATAATGACATTATATCAAAGACAGTTAAATACGAAATAATTCCCTAGGGCGTTATTCTAAAAAATTTCGGTCAACGTATATCCCTCGGGAAATACACCATTGACCTCAAGCGTTAATATCCTTATAATACCATTGGTACCCTAATAACTATAATTATTTTTACAAATATACTGCGATTTCAATACATTGCGCCCCAATATTTCAAATCCACAGTTAAAAAAAATTAGAAAATTGAATATTAGGTTCCATAGCCAATTGTCTAATCCAAAAACTGATAGGCAATTCATCCAAAAGTTTTCGAGAATGGGTGTATGTATTTAAACAGGCCATTCTACTAGCATTAGCAATAGAGTATTAGAAATTTTTATGAACTTTAAATCTTTTCCAGGTCCCACAATTCGCCCTAGCAATTAGTTACAATTACTTTGTAGACTTGAGCCATAACAAAATTGAGAAACTTGGCTTCCGCTACGCCGAAGACATTGCCACAAGTAACAGTGGTGACGCTATCCACTACAATGGGGAGCGGAGTACCGTACTAAAAATTCACAGTAATCCAATTGTCTGTGATTGCTCTAACTATGATCTTACAAGGTATAACGATAATCAAATGAAGAACTTGAAAACCTTAGTTGAAATCGATCAAAATGAATTATATTGTGCCAACGATAAACATCGTAAGGTCATCGATGTGCATCCTAACCATATTGATTGCCCAGTACTAAATGGTTGTCCAGAAGTTTGTAGGTGCTCTTACAAACCCTATTATACTGCTATTATTGTTGACTGTTCCAAAAGCAAATTAACTACATATCCAAAGTTTAATTTTACGCTTGATCAAACATTTAATCAAACATATTTATTACTGGGTGATAATTTACTCACCAGAGGACCAACAGAAAACGAAACGAATTATTCAAATATTACGAATTTGGATTTATCTGGAAATTTGATTTCCGCAATGGATTGGGTTCCTTCTCAAATCAAGGTAGGAATGTATGTGTTTTGAAAGCATCAAATTATAAAGTTGTTTTTTTTTTTCTATTTAGGAACTCAATTTGAATAACAACTTATTGACAAACTTGGATAGTTCATTTATTAGGAAGCTTAATAGTACGCGTATTGAAAGGCTCCACCTCCAAGGAAATCCATGGAACTGCGACTGTAAAACTTGGGACTTGCAAGTATACTTGATGGATAATTATAAAAAGGTAAGATGGGCTTTGGCATGTTGAAAACCTAAACAACAATGCCAGTGTTATATTTATCAAGAACCTTTTGAGATCGTCTATTCATCTGATTAGTGGTTAGTGCTCTATCCTTGGCATTTAACGATTTTCTTTTCCCATTTAATTCTTCATCTAACCTCTCTACGTGCCCCGCTAAGTCCCACGTAAACTTTGTTATCCGCACTAGGTATAACATATTTTCACTCCGATTTCTGAAATATAATTTAGTGGGAGTCAACTTTTCTGTTTGTCAGAGCTGAAAGGATGCACTAATTAAAGGTTCTCCTTTTGGGAATATTTCAATATTAGCCTCAAAGAGTCTCGATTTTCCATTAGTATCAGGAATAAAGAGACAATATGTTTTTTGTCAAACCTCTATATCACAAACGACGATTGATATCTTTTTCAAGCTAAAAAATAGAATACCGCTCATTTTCATCTGTCATATTCCAAGTTACAACAAAGTCTCCTATGTCTTTAATCTTACAACAAATATTGGATCTTGTTTAAAGGTTTTTCTTAGGATAGTGATTCTTTTTTTAATATTCTTTTCATTGTTTTCATAGAATATACTTATCTACTGTACTTCTTTACATGTGTGGTTAGTGGTTGGTGCATGAATATGGATCAGTTTCAGCTTGCTAGCTGCAGGACTTGAATTTCAAAATCAAACATGCTATTCTCTCTAAATTATCTTACTTATTTCTTTTTCAGGCAGATGATATCTTCTGTATGAACAGCAATACGGAACTTACGAAACTAACTGAACTTTGCAAGGTCTCACCGTATCTAACGATTATGTTGCCTATCATCCTTGGCATCTTTCTTTGTTTTGCCATTGCTTTTGCCGTTTTCTATCGGTACCAAACCGAAATCAAAATTTACCTTTACGCCAAAAACTTGTGCTTATGGTTCGTTACTGAAGAAGAGCTGGACAAGGACAAAACTTACGACGTGTTTATCAGTTATGCCAACCAGGACGAAGCCTTTATCGCTGGCCATTTGTTGCCCGAATTGGAACATGGACCTCATCCCTTCAAAGTGTGTGTACATACAAGAGATTTTATTCCTGGAGAGTTTATTACAGAGCAAGTTGTTAACTCTGTTAAAGACTCTAAAAGGACACTCGTAGTGCTTTCTAATCACTATGTGAATAGTAATTGGGGCAAATTAGAATTTAGGACCGCCCATGCTGAAGCCTTGAGCGAAGGCAGGACAAGAGTTATTGTAGTCATCTATGGAGACTTGGATGAAACTAAATTGGATAATGAATTTGAGAGCTACATCAAGACTAATACCTACGTTAAATGGGGCGATAAATATTTTTGGAACAAACTCAGATACGCCCTACCTCATTCCAAAAATGGTTTCTACGAAAAGAACAAAAAGCATGCGAAAATGATGCTTAAAATTGATGACAAATTTAATCTGATCAAAGATCCTCCCAGTCCCAGCAACACTAGTACTCCACCGATTACTTTAGACCCATCACTTTTGGAAAGTAAACAGATAATTATTGATGTGCCTGCAAAGAAAATAGTTGAGGGAGAATCCCCACTTTTAATTAAAAAGGTTTACTAATTTTTGACAAAAATGTAAATAAAATTTAAATCTGTGATTTTAAGACATCCATTTTTTATAATCAACTATTTGCAAGCGCTCATATAGGAGTATTTAGTTCCGTTTGGTGAAACTAGTGTATATTCTATAAATTTTCAGATATGTATCCTATATCCTCTGCATAAAAAGAAATATACACTTACCTACTAAACATTATTTGTAGATTTAGCATATTTTAATTTTCTTATCCATGGCAATGTTCAATGTTACCTGTTATAAGTAATAAGTACATAATATAAGGTTGCTGTTTGTCGAGTGGAATTTCATATTCATAGGCGGCGTCGAACTTTATGTTAATTTCCTGATTTAGGGTAGAGTAGTAGTAACTTAAATAGGAATTACTAAAAGGTTAGTAGGAAGAGGTACCTGATGTTTGTTGAGTTTTCGATTGTTTTAGTTATGAAACAGACGTGAACTAGGATAGGGCTGTAGCTCATGATCATCGAATGATGTATGAACAGGAACACAAGAACAATATCTAAAAAAAAAACTAATGTAACTGTTTTGACACTTTTTTTTTTTTTAATTTCCAAAAAATGTTAGTACCTATATAAATAAATAAGCCTTTATTTCCAACAGGAACAAGTCCCAATTACAGGAAATCCTATCCTATTCACAATCTGTAGTACAAAGGTACTTACAGGTAAATTTATCACTTTTCCCTATCAAATAGCATTGAAAGGTGATAAATTTCACCTGTACATTTGGACTACAGATTGTGAATAGACAATACATATTTATTTTTGAATCCTGTTTAAGCTAACTCTTGCAGCTTCTTTACACATTTTAATTATAATGATTTTTTTATGGTTCCTCCTAAAATGTTCAATTCTTGTATTCTACAAAAAATTAAAATACTATAGTGTATAATTTGAATGATACGTAGCCAGTTTTAAGGTATGTTTTTATTTTAATATTTGTTTATTGAAGTATTTTAAGCATAGCCGATTTTAAATTGTTGGATTTTTTACTTTTTATTTAAACTGTACCTAATAATTTTTATTCACTTAGTACAAAACTATTTTTATAAATCTGTGTGTTTTCAATTTACTGGGTTTTATTTTGATTTGCATCCTGTTATAGGATATTATTAGTTCATAATTTTACCGAGGTGAAAAATGATTTTTTCTCCAAACGTCAAAAAAACGTCACTTTGTCAGCACCTGTCAAGATGTTAGAAATTTTATATCCTACTGACCTATTAAAACCATATAATACCTTGGTTACGATAATCATAAACAGGGTCTTAACTCCCAAGGGAGTTAAGGATTTTCATAACTCCCAAGGGAGTTAAGGAAGGGAGTTAAGGATATCATAACTCCCAAGGGAGTTAAGGATTTCCATAACTCCCGCTTTTACCTTGAATAGGTAACACTTTGACAAAAAATAGAAATTTTGATTTATGGCTTATTCCTTTATAAAAATAGACAGAATACAGTAAATTCAGTGGGATATAAAATTATCTATGTACCACGGGAATTATCAGGAGTTAATACCCACGGGCAATTGGTGTCCCTCGGACCGGAGGCCCTCGGGACACAAACGTTGCCCTGGGGTATTAACACCTGCATAATTCCCTTGATACATAAATAACTATAATTTCTATGCTGGTAGGCAAATCCAGCGGGTTAACACCTGACGAGGTGGTAGAATAGTTATTTGTTTTACTAGGCAGAAAAGTACAAGATTTAAGGCATAGCCGAGGCTAGGAAACCAGCCGAGGCATTAACCTTTATGTGACTGAATGGGTACCCTGGTACCCATTCAGCTTTTAGATAAGAATAGTTTTTTTGTTTAAATCCGTTGAACTTTGTGATTTCGTGACATTTCTGAGCTAGGCTATTCAAGCAAAATTTTAAAATGTGAATTATATTTTTACACTATTTTTGAAATAAAGGAGGTGCAAAGTTTTTTCACCTACGAATGACGGTTTGGGTACCCAGGTACCCCTATCAGTTTTAATGCAAATAAATATGTTTCATAGCAAATATGGAAATGCAATAAAGTTTATCTTTCATTTGTTTATTATATAAGGAGTATCAGAGAACAAGGAGGTCTTACATGTGAGGTCAGTTTGTTTATTGGTAACATTTTTGACATAAAGTTTGATCTACAGAGTGTTCATTACAAACAGGTTTGAAACAGGATTTATACAGTTTACGGGTCTTCCTTTGTTTGTGGTTTAATTCTCGACAAATTTGACATTTACCAACGACCATAATACGCCCAGAAGCATGACGCCTTGGTGCTTCTCTAGCTAGACTAACAATCGGATCGACTATTTGTCGATCAAGGACCATTTCTAGAGACTGACGTGTGAAATAATTACCGACAACTTTTGGAATAAGAATAAGGGAACGCATTTGAACGGCGGGCAAGCACAGATCATTGGCGAGGTCTTTTAGAAATCTACGACGTTGATCAGTGGCTCTAAAATTTGGATTGTGTTCCTGGTGAATATAGTAAGAACTGTAAGAAGCCAAGCCAGCAACGTCGATCTTGTTGAAAAAGTGCGATACGTAAAACGTAAAACGATTTTTTTTACGTTTTACTCTATACTCGCCTAGCATTTTATCCAAAGTATCGACGCCTCCTTTTATTTTAATATGATATATTATTCTCAGGCTTCGCAACGGTGGTATCATCCACTTGACCTATTGAGTGCATCGTTGATAAAAGGATAGGTAACAAATTTGTTTTTCTTTGGAACATAGGAGCATAATGTTGCATCATACAACTAACCTGTAAGTACTACTCTGCAGGCAGTCGAATTAGTTGATGTCGCTGCGCAAAATTACTAAATAAAATACGGAAATAGGCGGGGGGGGGGTACCCAGGTAGGTACCCCCGCCGTCATAATAAGGTGTTTTTTTTTTCCCAGTCACAGAAAGGTTAAATCTGCTTTTCTGCCATGTAAAACATATAATTTTTTCTCCGAATGTTCAAATTCACACATGGACATCTTTTTTATATTTATTTCATTCATTATTATTATCCAAATAATGAAATTATTTTGACAATTGTCATTGTCACCATCAATTTCAAATATCAAATTGAGTGAAATTATTACCTAAAACGTTGACACTGTCACTTTTAATGACAAGGCAGTAAAAATCCACTTTTACTGCATAGGCAGTAAAAATACGACTTTTGATCCTGTCAAGTGTCATTAAAAGTTCGCTTTTACTGTCGTTCGGAGAAAAATTTAATTTCTATGCTGCTAGGCAACCGCAGCGGCAATAGAAGTACTTTCAGTGCCGCTGGAGCGGCAGCAAAAGTACTTTTAGTGCCGCTCGTACTTTCACTGCCGCCTAACCATCTAGTTACCCCCGAGGTCACCCCATTCGTTTGGAGAAGAAATAGCGTGTTACATACTGAGTAGAAGCACTTTTTTGTGCTTCAGCAGTATTACAAGCCTCACTACGTTCGGCTCGCAAACCTACTGCTTCAGCACAAAAAAGTAAATCTTCTAACTCGATCCTAATACAACAATATACTATTATGTCCGATTGACCAATAAAGTGCTATTTATAGTGCAGTTCTGCGTCAATAAAGTAGCACTATCTTTTACTGTAAAATATAGTGCTACTTTATTTAGTAAAATAAAGTGCTAGGTACTTTATTGCCTACCTGAACTATCTGACAACCTGCCAACGTGGAACCGGTATACTCGAATTTTAATTTTTTCATTCAATTTTTAACAAAAACCAGTCGTAATCGTACATAAAATCATGTATATACCGCGTACATAAATGGGCCTTATTGACTCAAAATTTAATAGACTCGCTCGCAAGCTCGCTCGGCCATAAAATTATTCGTACAATAAAGCCTTACTTTATGTACTTGTTATACAGGGTGTCCCACCGGGAACCACATCGATCTATATATGAAAAACTGTATGCAGAAAATTTTTGAAAATTTGACAGTATACTAATGTCAACGGGGGCAACTCGGCTAAAATATTTTCAAGATGGTGGCACTTCTGGTTATACCGAAAGTAGACGTTAACTTGCTTATTTCAAATGAGACATTCTGTATATTATTTAATTTTTGAATTCTATTCAAAATTCTAGACAGATTCCGTGTATAATGCCTAAGTCTACGCATTTTTGACATATTTAAATTTTTATGTCAAGAATTACGTTTGCAGGCCACAAAATAATAATGAATTTTTCCTATAAAAAATCTTTTGATATGTATCTACTTTGAGTTGGATTCCTTGTTGACAAGGACCTACTTCAACAGATTTTTTATAATATTTTGACAACCATTAATACAGGGTGTTCAAAAAATAGAATTAAAAATAAAATTGAGAAAACTGCCGAAAATACATTTTTTCAAATGGAAACCCCCGAATTTTATAATTTTATCTTATTCAGCATGCATTGAACATGAGGGTAAGTTTGTGTAAAGTTGTCTATTCCGAAAACTATTAGTTTTCGAATAATACCCATTTTTTTTTTTTTTTTGTTTGGTGATTTTGCTACCGATTTCAAGTTCTGTCAATGTCGGCGTTCAGAAATAATCTGATGCTGAAGAAATGCAATGTCTGACCGCTTAAATTATACAAACGAAGATTATTTAAAGTTGTTTATTATTTATGGAGAATGTGATAAAGTTATATCAAGAACATATGACACATTTGCCATTCGATATTCGCAAAAACAGAGACCATTACAATATTCTGTTAAACAAATTATAGAAAATTTCAAGAATTTTGGAGCCGCTAAGGCTATAATACTTAGTGCATATTTAATTTAGAGAAAAAAAAAAAGAAAAAAAACAACTTATTTCTTCAGTAAATGTTCAAACTGACGTCCTTGAACTTCCAGACATTTTTCGTTTTTCGCATCGAAGAATCACTTGGTCATAGGTCGCTTTTCTGATTGATTCGGGTCTTAAATTTCTAAATGCATTCCGCACTCGCTGCATGCAATCTTCCATAGTGGTTATGGGAGAGATATACTCTCGATCTTTAATTGTACCTCAAAGGAAAAAAATCGAGCACCGAAAGATCTGGGGTTCGAGGTGGCCAAAGGAAAGGACCATCGTTTGCTATCCATGGATCGCCAAACATATTGTGAAGAAAATTGTTGATGAGGAAACCTCTATGTGGAGGTGCTCCATAATGCTCTTAAATTAAGTTTCTATGAACAGCGAGAGGCAAATTGTCTAGATAGTTGGCTTCAAAATTATTTAAAATGTTTAAATATCCTTAAGTTACTAAGCAAACTTTATATATCTAGAATGATTCAAAAACTTCTTACATAGGTATCATTTAAATTTTCTTGATAAAAATGTAGAGCCACCACGCAATCATTCCGTATTGCACAATATACATTAAAATGCCAGGATTCTTGAAAATTGTGCTCCGCTAATTACATGTAAATTTGAATCACTCCAATAATGGGAATTATGTCGATTATTAATGCACCATTTTTGTAAATTCAGCTTCGTCCGTCCAAATGATATTGTCCAAAAAAAAATTGAATTCAAAAGAAACACAAAGTCTTCCTCCGCACGCAAATTTTTAATTGAAAAATTAAAGAGCCTGAGAGAATATGTTCCGAAGCTATTAGAGCTTCATCATCAGGGGCAAGTTTGCTCAATATTACTTATACAGTTTTACATCGTTTAATATGAAGCCGCTGAACTTAGCATTTGTTAGAAGCAAAACAAAAAGATTGAGAAAAAACATCTACATTTCGACAAAGGACATTTAATTTAAACAGGTACTAGTTAAAATTGTAAAAACATTGTAAATATATTGTCAAAAATTTTCTGCATACAGTTTTTCATATATAGATCGATGTGGTTCCCGGTGGGACACCCTGTATAAATAGCTATTATTTACGACTAATATATAATTTAAGAATTATGACGTATGTATTCTGTCTAGTTCATCAACCTGTGATGCCTCGATTTCGACTAATTTTGGGTCGAAAAATCCATTTCTTGTGATAAAAATGTTATACATGTTTTATATTTCGCTTTTAGGCGCCATTTTTTCAATTAACACAGCCTTAAGACTCGGGAAGACCTGTCCAATTGATAGCTCAACTATCTGCTGTCTTCATTAATATCGAGACCCCACCCCAAACCAGGTTGGTAAGCTGCCCGTAGCGTGTGCTCCGTCAATGATGCTAGAGTGGGGGAAAGCATATTGACGTCACGTCCACCTGCACAAAAAAATTCTGGCAAGCTTTGTCTATTTCTGTCTCCGTGCTGTGGTTGTCGTATAAACAAACAACGAACTTTTGTAATGACACTAATGTAGAAGAAATGTTTTGGTGTATTTGCTTCCCAAGCATTTAAAGGCTTCAGTAACCTCATATTCTTGCCATGCAGCCCATGCCTTGAGTTTCCTTTTGACAAAGTAAATGAATGACGTTGTGTCTCATCCGGTAGAACTATGGAAACCACGTAAGGCAAGAGATTTGTCACTTCCAAGAATTCTGCTGGTACGTACGACACTCCTAACGGTAGTGTCACTCCCTAACTATTAAAATAGCTGAGAATAGATGTACTCACATAATGTCTGCCCAGTGACTCTGTGTCTACGGTGCAACGGTGAGGGGAATGCAGTTGTAAAAAAAAAATGGCTGATTTCATTCATAAAATACCCAGCTGCGTGCGAAACTTTTTGGAAGTGTTATCGTATTGCAACTCTTACACGAAAATCGACAATGACCAAACCTCCACCACTGGATATTTCAATATAAATCGATATTCCAAGATGGGAGGATAAAATGACGTGAGCCCTGGCCAATAGCGAGACGTAAGCTGACGTCAGCTCATTGACAACCGTATGATTTCCCATGGCAACGGCGTTCCTGCCAAAAACTCCACCAATCAGGTTCATCCAGGCCGGATGCTTGCCAAATAGTCAAAAGCGGATGGTATCTTTAGAAAATGTTTATTTTTTACAAAAGGAACTCTTTGAGTCACCCAGCCTCGCCCTTAGGGGGTATCTACCCTAACTTATTTTTTTTTTTTGATACGAATCTTCCTTGCAGTCTTATGGC